GATAACCTGCCAGAGGTGGGAGGGGTGTACTGAAGGAACTAACAACTGGCAGAATGGGCGATAAAAAATAATGCTCTTAGAGCATCAGTGTCAAATCCACACAGTACTTATTGGTAAGTGGAGATCAGAACTGAAGTCACTGACTCTCTGAGTTGAAGGAGAATCTGAAGTTCTTTTAATCCAGCCCTATCCAATAAATGTTTCTCTCACTGCAACACCACCAATAAAAAGTGGCCATCCAATTTATGTTTGAACACTCACTACTTCCTGAGGCAGCCCATTCCTCATTCCTTTCGTCAGACAGTACTAAGTGACAAGTTTTTCCTAAAATTAAGGCAAAAATCTGTGTTTGAACACTCACTACTTCCTGAGGCAGCCCATTCCTCATTCCTTTCGTCAGACAGTACTGACAAGTTTTTCCTAAAATTAAGGCAAAAATCTATCTTTAGGCAATTTTTATCCATAGACTCTAGTTCTGATAATCAGAGTCACCAAAAATAAGTCTCCTATCTAGTAGCAGCCTTGCAAATATCTATGTTTTCCATGTCCACCTCCTCACCTCTTCCCTCCCATCCCTTTACTTTTCTCCAAGCTAAACATCTGTAGTTCCTCGAACATTCTTCCTAAGATACCATTTCAAATTCTCTCAACACCTCAGTTGCTCTCTTTTTGATCTACATCAAATTTTCAATGTTCCCTTTACAGTGTGGTGCCTAAAACTGCATACAATTTCCCTATATATGCTTTGAATAATGAAAGCAGGTCTCTACCATCTTGTTTTTTGTGGATATTACATGATGCCTAATAACTTGCCCTACTGAAGAAATGGCAAATATCTCCAATAATCATGATAACAAATGGACAGTTCAGATTTTTAGATTTAACTTTTGATCTCATCAATTCCAGAGAACAAACACAGAAACTGTTCAATGTCTGGTATTTTTCCTTACTCTTACATTAACAATAATAGCTACAGGACTTACTTTGTGTCAGGTACATACTTTATACATGTTTTCTCATTTGATTCTAATAATAATCCAACAAAATAGGTCTCTTTATATTCATTTACAGACAGAAGTGAGACACAGATCAAATCATTTAATGTGGATGTGTATAACGTATCTGCCAAAATTGGGGTATAAAGAGTAAAGTTACATTTGATTCACTGATGAACAGTTATTCATGACATAGACAAAAGGGCATAGACTTTGGAATTATAAACCTGTGTGAATCCCAATGCTCTCATTAACTATTTGGCCTTGGACAATTTCCTTAAATTTTCTGGTTCTCAGGAGATCTAATGTATAGCATGGTGACTACAGGCAACGGTACTGTATTGCATACTTGAAATTTGTTAAGAGGGTAGCAAATCATCAAGTTGTACACTTTAAATATGTACAATTTTTAAAATTGGGTTTCTTCATAAAAAAATTCTGTGGGTCTCGATCTTCTCATCATAAAATGGGATATGCCCCTTACGAAGATTAAATGACATAACACAAATAAAGCACGTGACACTGTGGCTGACAAAGAAGGCAATCAACAAATGCAATTTAAAATTCTTTTTCCCCATAGAAACTGAGTTTTTATCCGTGGATTGGGTTTTAATAATCTATATGTTAAATGGGTTAAGAATATTATACAAATGAACATAAAAGATAGAAATAGCAAAAGTTAAGGCCTGAAATTGCCAAGACCATCTAAGACAGATCACTGATTATCTGAGAGGATATCAGGGGCAAACCAGGCAAACCAGAACAATGTACTGTACATGTCTCCTTGCTACGGTAAATGGCTTTCTGGTTGCCTAACTAATAGCAGACCATCTGGAGGTGGATAATTTGTTTCTCCAAGTGCCAAACTAAGCTAGAGGTTCTTTAGATTGGGTACAGTATTCACTCCTCTCCTACAATTCCATTTTTTCATTATTAAAAAATATTTTAGGGAAAAAGGTCTTAACTCACTGATTTATATTCATTCTTTCATTTTCTCTCCCCTCCTTCTCCCTCCCAGTCCTTCTCCCCAGCCCTCTAAATCCTCCCCCATCTCCCAGAAATAGCCCTAAATCTCCTCTTTTACCTCTCCTCAGCTAGGTCAAACTTCATTCATGTTATATTCCTAAACTAGAGGAATACCTCCATTGTTAGCACCCCTCATTAAATTTTTAAAGAACAAACATCTTAAATTTTCTATTTTTCTCACTGAAAAATTCCTGATTATTAAACACTTAAAATTTCTCCTTAAGACTTACACTTGAACGCTAATAGGGTTTATATTTGAGTGGTGGGATTTGGAATAATTATCACACTTTTTTCCTGAATATACATTACTTTGCAATCAGAAAAAAAAATCTTAAATTCTTAAGCTTATAAATATTCAAGTAAGCCTAGATATCTCAAATTTCTAAATTTCTATGGAATAAGTCCAGCTATTATAAAATGAATTAGATATGCTACTGAATTAACTGTACTGTTAGGCCTTAAGCCTATTGCAAGTCTTTAAGAAATTCAAAATTGTATTACTGTTGAGATTTGAAGCTACTGTTTGTTGTATCACAAATGGATAACCCCCACCCCACAGAAGATGCTTCTCTCAAAACTGCCAGGGAAAAGCTGAACACTTTCCAAATTCTTTATTATCTTATTATTTTAGGGGTACAAATTCTCATTATCTTATGAGTACAATTAATCACGCTATTGGTCATTTCACTCTTTGGTTTGGTTGTTAGGAAGAAGAGTGATCTACCTTTGCAATTACACAAGACTTGCTGGTGTACATTTGTCTGTATCAATTTTACCTCTAGCTTTACATTGCGATTCTACCTTATTTTTCAGGTATTCTGATTTTTTTATCTTAAGAAGTCTTATTTTATTGTACATATTTTTGTAAGTCATTGTGGGTACTTCTTGGAATGTTGCAGGGAAGAAATAATAGAATTCACATCATATATTCAATGAAATTCAATCTGTTTCGATCCAACATGGTGAAAACCATAGGACTAATTAAAAAACTAACCAGCAGCGACCAGTTGCCAACATTTTTCTTTCTGGGAAAAAACCACCCACTTTATTTACTCAGTCAAAATTACCAAATGACAGAGATCACTCAGTCTTGTGTAATATAAGCAACATTCCTTAAATCTTAATCTACCCCCCGAATTCCTTTTTCATTGCAACCTCATCCCTCTATTTCTTTTCCTTCACACTTTATGATGCAAAATTGAAAGGTGTATCCATTGCATTTACTGAAGAAAACACTTTTTAAAAATGCTCTCTCTGTACTTAAAATAAGAAAGTTTTAAATGTTCTTCATTAAAGAATAAATCATACACTTTTGGTCTTTCTCCTATGATTTTTCTCATGTAGTACAAAAACAAAAAATAATTCACATCAGAGAAAGATACAATTCATGATAAACCCAAATTGCAAATACTTCATATTAATATGTTTTTATTAAATAAAGAAATATCTGATACTCACTATTTACAGAATCTTCCAATTTCTTTGACGATGAATGTCCTGAAAAGGGAACAGCACTGTTTTATTAAGTATTGTCTTGGGATGGTGCAACAGTTGTAGCTGTAACCAAAATTTTTCCCAATAGTCTAGTTTGCTATCATCTTACAGATAAGCACTACTATTTTCTAATCCTTCATGTTCCTTAGTCTTATCTCCCAATTAAAATGTTTGGCTCTTTTAGGCAGGAATTATATCTTGTGCTCTCATATGGCCTGGAATAGCTAACACAAAACTTAAAAAATGATAAGTATATGTTAAAAAAAAAAATCTCATATTGCTAAAAAAACAAACAAACAAACAAAAAAAACCTCATAGATTGGCTGCCATATAAGCAATAACTTCTTTTATCTATGGAGATGTTCAACATCTGAAAGCAATTTACAAATAAACACTCATTTTTCATAATATTTTTTCCAAAGTCATACACAGGTGAGAATTAGTTCTCAGAAACTGATAACACATAGGATTATGTTATAAAACAAAAACCCTCAGCTTCACAATAGTTATCCAATAAAGGAAACAGAAAGGAAAAAGCATCGATGATCCATTAGCATAATTTTTTAAAAAACCACCACTATGCAGAGCCTCTTGAAATAAAACCTTACGGGAAATATTTCTGAAAACTGATAAAGTAAAAAGGACAGATTGACAGTGACAATTCCCACAACATCCCTGGACAGGAGGTCTCATAAGCCACAGCTTACGGACCCTGTAAGGCCAAAGAGGGTGCAAGAACTACAGGGAAAGGATACAAGAGATATATTCCTCCATGTCATCCTCTGATATGAGGAACATGGTATCTGCTTCCAAATATCCAAAGGTCTATAGGTAAAAAAGATGTTAGGCTTACTCTGAGGACTAAGGATCTAATCAGAACCAAAGAGAGGAAGTTGTAGGATTGGGCTAAATATTAAGAGAGACCCGACAGCAATCGTAACTACCTGAAAATGTAAAGGATTATTTTGCGTGGTAGTAGGTTCCTTTTCCCTGGAGGGAAAAGATGTCAAAGCAAAAGCAGAACAACCACGTGACAGACAGCAGTGCTTCTCTCAAACTTTACTGTATATATGAATCATCCTAAGAACTTGTTAGTAGATCTGTAGGGGTCTGAGATTGTACATTACTAAAAAGTTCCCAAGCGATGACAATACTGCTGTCCTGAGGACCATTCTTGAAAAGCAAAACTACAGAATATCCTTTCAATAATGATTCCAGGACTGATTTCTCACATTCCTTTTAACTCTGAGAAACTATGGTTGAATTCACCAATTCACGCAGTCACCTAACATTTATTAAATGCCTACTATGTGGAGAACGCACTGTGTCAGGAATTGGATAATGAATTAAACCAGTCACACAGTTCCTTCCCTCACAGAAAATAAACAAATTATTCCAAGGGTACTATGTATTTCTAAAGGAGAAGTGCAGAGCACTACCGGAATGTGTAACAGGAACCTACTCTTATTTGGAGACACAGGGAGAAGGATGTCAGGAAGGGCCTTCCCAAGGAACTGAGCTAAGCCGAAACCTGAAGGATGAGGTGGCCTTTGTGAAAAAAGTGATGGTGACAAGTAAGATCTTGAACTTTCTGCCAAGACAGTCTACCTAAGCCTCTTGTTCTGCCTATACCTGCCAAAGCAGATCAGTTCTCAAAGACAAGCTATTAATCTGTCTTTCTTACTTTTTCTACCCATTCATTCAGCCATCAAAGCCATCCAGTTGTTTATCCATCCATTCACTTATTTAACATTTTCTATGATGGTAACCCGAAGCTATGGGAGTAGATGGGATCACACAGAGAGAACAGAGAGAAAGAAGAGACATCTAGGTACTCCTAAGTCTAAGAATGAGTAGGAACTGCAGTCAAAAGAAGCGGTGGAGAGGCCAGAAGATAGGAAAAAAATCAACAAAGTAAGCTGTTTTGAGGAGTGTCAACAGTCCAAATGCAGCTGAGATATTAACCATTTATTAATTATTATTCAATTTAGGCCAAATTAAGGTGATGTGGCAAGAAAGAATCACATTAAGTTCAAGCTAGTTCCAGATGATCCCAGATAAGAAGATATTATAAGATACCACATGGTTTTCCTAAAAGTTTGCTAAAATTTTGTTTTTCTGTTTTATATCATAGAAGTTAGGGGGAAAAAAAAGTTATATTCTAGAGACCCTGTTCTCAAAGACACTCTGAATAGAGAATAAAGAAACAGATGTCTTATTCCTTGAACTTGTTAAGACAACTGAACAGATATGATGTTGATGGGGGGAGGAGGGAGGGGAGTAGGGAGGAATTGGTAAAGAGACATGAAAATCAACTACATTGAAAGATGAGTTAGGATGAGACTGGGGTTTTAGGAAGACAGAAAGTAGCATCCATGTAACCCCTAGAATGGAAAGAAACTTGGCATCTTCTGGAAACTGAAAGGCTATGTGGCAGAGAGGGAAAGTGAGGCAGAGAGTGGTGAAAAGTAAGCCTTGTATAGTGTACAGGGGTCAGATCATATATAGCCTTTTGGCTGTGTCCAGGATTTAGGTTATCATCCTAAGAATAATGGGAAACCATTGGTCTACGGACAATGGATTGAAGGAGGGGAGGGAGATGGCAAGACAGTGGGGGAACCAGTAAGAAAATATAACAGCAGCCTAAATGCGAAAATATGATGGTCTGTGGTAGACTGAAGAGAATTTGAGAAATATATACTCTGGGGGTAAAACTGGTAGGACTTGGTAACAATAAACAGAAATAATGAAGAAAAAGAAGATAGTAAGGATAATTCCTGAATTTCTGACGTTAACTTTTAAGTCAACGAAGGTCATCTACTAAAATATGTAACACTACAGGAAAGACATCTGTAAGGAAGATCACATGCATATGTATGTAGAATCTGAAGTGTCCAACCCCATCCCTGATCCTGAGTATCCAGTTACCTAATCCTGTTTTGAAGGTACTGAGTAACCTTTCGCAAAGTAAAGATCAGTTCTTTAATATGAAAAATGTAATAATTAATATGGTATCACAGTTATGACCTGAATGCAACAATATTATATAATATGGTAATGAATGCAACGCAAATTTCAAATGGTACATTAAACATTTTACCAGCACAGAAGAATACATAAAATTTTAAAAAGTCAAATTAGATTTTTAGGCTTATTAGTTAAAATTTACTTTAAATTTTGGAATTGAGAAATGATTAAGATAGAGACAAGAAGGCATTCTGCTTCAAATGTCACCTTTGAATCTTCCTCTCACCATCTATCAATTTTACCAAGTCTACAACTTGGTCATTATTATATATTTGAATATTTTAACTCTACATACATAATTAATATATCATGATATGTAAAAATTTTTTTTAAATGCATGAAAAAGTACAATATAGCTAACGATCTTCATACCTGGAGCAAGGGAGCCCTCTTCTGTCCAAGTATTACATTAACAATGGCTTGAATCTAATTTAATCTAGCATTACCTACCTAGTTTAAAACTGACTCACCATAAGTTACAGCCAATTTGACTTTATTATGGGCTGAAAAAGCAACTAGAAGTAACCTTCATAATAGCTAATTATGTGCCAGGTACTATGCAAATTCCTTAATGAATTATCTCATTCTAAACAATCCTATAAGGTAGGAACTGTTATCATGACCATTTTAAATATGAAGAAATTGAGGCTTAAAGAGCTTAAGGGCTCCTGAGGAAAAAGTAAGCAGGTAACTGATGGACTGAATTTAACATTTATTTATTAAGTATATGTGCACAGCACGATGCTAGGTTCTGAGGATACAGATATAGTCAATCTCGTCATTTCAAGAAGCTCATAAACTAGTGAAAAAAACCACACAGATTATAACCAAAATCATAGTGTTATAATTTTATACTGACTTATAGATTATGAGCTGTTTTACAGTGTTCAAAGTACCTTTACATTCTTATTTGATTCTCCACAATAAGCTTGACTAGTATGGAGACCAGCTATTCACATCATCCTACATACATGAGAAAAGTAAAACTCAAGAAGTTCAGTGACTTGTCCAAGGTAACAAGCCTATAGGTGACAAAGCCAGGAATTAGAACACTATTCACAATATTATACTATCTGGCAAAAAATAAATCAAAAACAACTCTGTTCTTAAAACTCCTGTAAGTCACTGTATATTCATATCTAAATTCTTAATCAATTTCAACTATTATAAAATGAAATTCTAAATTCATTCACCAATTAAATACTACATTTGAGATATGGCAGATTATACTTCATGTTCATAAATGTGAGTAGATACTATATCTTAATTTCCTTTACCTTTATCCTTTTTCTTGGAGTCTTCTGCAGAAAATAATCTGGATTTTTTATGTGATGACTCTTCACAATCTTTTTTGGGTTTATCCTTTCTTTTTTTTGTCTTGATTTCTTTTCTCCTTTATGTTAAGCAAGATAAAATTAATGTTAAGTTTTTCAACTGAACTTCACAAAAAATAAAAAACAATTAACAAGAAAATCAGTTAAAGAACTTATTTTTAAAATGTAATTTACATAATAAGGAACTATAAATGGGTTTTTAAGTATTTTAGGTTAGTACATTAATTAAGATAATTCTGTAAGATTATGAAGCCTAAGCATTGAGACAAAGAATTATTTTTTTTAAAGTTCTGTACACAGTCTTAGTAAATGTAAATCATAGTTTTACTCATTTCCTCACTTAGCAATTTAAAAGAAAATTACAAAAACAAATCTAATTTCCCTCCACATAATTCATATCCACCTACACACTGAAAAAATACAAACAAGAAAGAACTGCTGTAATAGCTATAAACCACCAGTAAATAGAAAATTCTTTTCTTAATAAAAGAATACAATAAAAGTATAATGGAATAAAGATAGAAGGGGCTTACTGTTAACTCATATGTCAACTTTAGACTATTTATAATTTACACTCTTACTGCTATAGTTTTATCTCTTCTAGGCCAGGTTTACAAGGTTGTCAGTACCAGGGTTGGCAAACAATTAATTTTAATTGCTTAAGGAAAGAAATACTAAATAGGAAAAGGTGATAATGCTGAAATTGGGACTGGCAAGGAGGACAGAGAGACAATGTAGAGGATTACTTTTTAAAAGCTTGTTAACAGACCTTGAAAATTAAGGTGTACATACCAAATGCTATAATTCTATATTTAAGGCAATAATCATCCTTGTCTATTTCACAAGAATCATTTCAATTTTGAAGTTGAGCTCAAAAGTCAAGGTCAAAAACATCTCTGGTTTCTTTCAGTGTCATTGATGGAAAGGGGAAATAAAGATTTATTAGGCTATTCAAGTAATCCAAAAAATCCTGCTAATTTTAAGAATCAAAAAATTATTGTTTAATATTAATTTTTAATAGCTAAAATACTAATATGCATATTTATAATAAAGCTATTTTAAAATTAATATGCTTATGTATACATTTTATAAAGTCTTGAAATCTCACTGTTAGACTTTCAACTGTTGTTCAGGACAAGAAACTTGACCACCACAACAATGGCAAGTCACACAGTTCTGTTGGAACATCTTCAATGCCAGGGACTAAGCTTGACTTACCATATGCCAGGCACCGTGGCAAGCATTTTATGTGCACTTTCATTTACTCTCCACAATAACCTAAGTACCCTTATTTTTACAGATTATAATACTGAATCTTAAGAGGTTAAGTAGCTTGCCCAAGAAGCCAAGTAAGTGGAGTAGCTGAGAGGAATACCCGGGTCTGATTTCAAAGCCCACAATCTTATATATACTGCACAGTGCAGGCAGGACACTGGTACTCTCACACACTCAATATGGCAGATGCGAGTACACTGAAACTCTTTCAAAAAGAGCCTGATTTTAACATTTGAAATGAATATAGAGGTGTATAATCCTTTGTGAGAATGACAAACTCCAGTTAAAACACTGTCTAAATGAGACACAAGAACCACTTAATGAAGTCTGCTTTACAACACAGTTTCTAAGAATAATACCATGTCTGAACATTGACTCCAAACTGTTAATTCTAACATCCATCTACCACTCAGCCTAGGCCTTCCCATCTAAAACTGCTTGGCTAGAACAGGGCATGTAAATTTCCACTTCTCTGGTTTATGTGGCATACAGTAATGCCTGATTTTCTACACAATGAACCATCTAACACCCAAGTCTAATTTAAACACTTAGTGCAGGCAAGTGACTATCTCCAACATTACTAAACATTAAGAACAGTATTTTAGAAGACAGTATTACCTGTGATGAAAATTTAATTTAAAGGAACATTCTTGGCATAACCCTAAAAAAAAAAAAAAAAAAAAGACACCACTGAACTGCTGACAGAATTTGATTAACTGTACTGTTAATATCATAAATGCTCATTTTCTTTACATTCCTCTACTGTAAGAGGGGAAACAAATAACCTGAAGAAAATAATCTGACCCTCCCCACTTCAAAAAATGCACATACATACAGACATGCACCGCATAATGGCATTTTGCTCAATGATGAACCGCATATATGATGGTGTCCCATAAGATTATAATAGAGCAGAAAAATTCCTAATGCCTAGTGACATCCTCACAACAACATAGCACAGCGCATTACTCACATAGGATCAATAGGCTATGTGATATAGCCTAGGTGTGGAGTAGGTAATACCGTTTAGGTTTGTGTAAGTACACTCTATGAGGTTTACATAATGATGAAATGGCCTAACAATGCATTTCTCAAAACATATCTCTGTTAAGCGACACATGACTGTATGTATGTATGTATATACACACACACACACACACATACTTAAAATGATGTTAGAATGCTTAAGAAATTTAAAATATTCTAACATTACTTTAGAAAAATGTGTTGTCAATTTATTCTAAAAATAAATTGTGTTCCATAGATAGGCAGCATTAACTGTGTCTCACATCAAAGATATCTAAAAATAACAATGTGGGTGTAGTCATTTCCTCTAAAGTGCTCTAAGAACTGTCAAGTGGAAAAAAGCTTTTCAAATAGTTCCATAATTGTGGGTTCTTCTTAATCTCAGTCCACACTGGCTGACTTTTCCTCACGAGCACTTCCAGGAGGAACTCAGAAACCAGTCTGTATTGATATGCATAAGTGGCATGTGGGGAAATCCTTGTCTTCTATCAGGAGTGGGCAGAAAACTCTGAAGGTCCATTTACTTAGAACCCAGAGAAGGCTGACAGCCATTACCTGATGAGGGAGAGGAGCAGCTGACACATGAAGACTAGCTTAAAAAAAAAATAAAAGAACGACAGATTCTAAAACATGCATATTAAGGTAAACTGCTGTATTCTGAAGTACATCCCTAAGCTTTTAAGATTGATAATCAAGAACAATTATTATCCATACCATAACAATATAGCTAAATAATCAGCTAATGTGAGATTTTACACTGCCTTTTCTGAAACTTTGCCGTTTAGCCATGTAACTTGGTAACATTCTCAAGTCAATGAGAAGGAATCTTCACTCAACAAATCACCAGTTTACATTTGACATTAGAACTGTTTTATCAAAATGTCACTGTAATGCTAAGAATATAAAAATTTTAGGCTCAAAAATTCTTTGAGACCTTGGGAAACTGATAAAAGAGTACTTCCAGGAAGGTATGCTAAAATTTTTAATTGAATTTTAAATAGTCCATGTATTTTTAATTCTAAATTAAAGATAAACTTGGAAGAAATCAATCACTCCCCTGCTAAAGTCAACTTACTTAATTTAACAAGGGCATTTCTCTTTTCACCATGCTCAATATAACCAAAATTAACTTCCCAACTCTTTAAGCCTTCTTTTTCATCACAACACTTATTTCCACAGAAAAATTGACCTGTGAAAAGGAAAGAAATATTAGCCATGGTGGCTGGTGACAATATTTAACTACATGATCTAATAGTATTTCTAAAATATACTTTTAAAATATGTGAATTCTTAGGTATAAAAAGTTAGCATTAAAAAATAACTGACAACAGTAATTAGAGTATGCTCATGAAACATGTACACAAGATCTTAAATCATAGAGCTGAACTGTTACCAAAAAAATCAGTCACAGAATTCTTACTTGATAGATTGACTGTTTATATTTAGATACAGAGTTTTAGTGACTCCCTATTAGGGAATCTTCCACTTGGGAAAGTGAGAGTTTTAAAGAGTGTGCTCACTAATACCCCAAAAGAATAAAAGCATTTTCCAAAGTATACACACTTACACCTGGTGAATCCTTTCAATATTTAATAGTAATATTAAAATTAATATTATTGAGTATGAACATAATGGCATTTATTTTTAGTACCAGCACAAATGGACATTGAAAACAAACTTTAAAATTCTAGCATTTTGAGATGAAGTGCATTTTGTTTTTAGAGTAAATTGACAACATATTTTTCTAAAGTAATGTTAGAATATTTTAATTACTCAAACCTGATACTCTAAATTTTAGAATCACTTGACACTGATATTAATACCACATTACCACGTCCACTATATATTAAAACCTCCCCCCCAAAAATATTAACACTACTCCTGATGACCCAAGAGAAAAAAAAAAAGTAGAAACTACTCAACAATTATTTACCTTAGCAGGAAAAGACAAGATCACAC